CCGGAGCAAGCTCTTGTTCTAGAACCGGCTGCTCCAAAAGGCAGCCAAGTAAAACCTGAAAATGATTCTCAGACCTTCTCCCAAAGAGATGTGATGAGTCTGCGTGCAGATATTTAACATCATCCTTAACTACTTTTCATAAATCTAGCTGCATTCTTGATCCCCCTCAAAAAGTACACCACCACGAAACCTTTTCCTCAATAGTTGGCCAGTAGCACTTTAAAATATTCTTGAATTCTTACAACATAGGATCCGTATCCAGTGAGAGTCTATCTGATATTGTCTTCTTGCAGCAGTACAATTTAAAGAAATGCTGTTCACCTTTTTCTGGTGCTATTCCTATACGCCTAGGACTTGATCTGTCTACAGCTGGTGTGCAGGTATACTGTTCTTATTCATACTCACAACAGAGCTGTTACATCAAATTGTTTTGCACTGCCAACCATGCTAGTCCTCCTACTTTTGCTACAAAGCTTTTACACTGAGTTGTGGGTATTCACGATTTTCTAGAAAGTTGCCAGAGTTGGTTTCTGTTTCAAGGACTAAGAACCATTCAGTATCTCAGATAAAGTGACGGAATAGCTGGTGTTTTTTTAAATAGTGATGACTCTGTCCAATTCTTCTTTTTCTTTCTTTATTGTACATACAAAAAACAGACTATACATACTTTCTCTCCATAAAAGTCAGGGCCAACATTTTGAAAATATGGTTCTGAATGTTACAGAACCACTTTTTTTTTTTAAGTAATGGGTGTGTAGTTACGTTTCAGGGGCTTGATTTGTAGTGATGCTATTTTATCCCAGTGTCCAGTCACACTGCAGGTTGCTCATCACTTTTGAGAAATGAATCCACAAATATCTTATTTTTAAAAGCTGAACAATCCCTAAGAAAATGAGGCAACAGAAAAATAACTCTTTGGGGACAGAACGGCTGCTGGTCTAAGCCAAGGTTCGCTGCTGTCTATGGAGGGGTTTTAGTGACTCTGAGATGCCTCAAGGCTAGCCCCTGAACACGAAGGATGGACGTAGCTGCTTCTGTCACTGACTGTCCATGGTAGGAAGTCACAGCAGCGATAGCAGGCCTTTCTCAGTATTAAGTTACAATCGGAAATCCTGAACGCAATGAACTTATCCGTAGAATGCTGTACAACTAAATGCCAAACAATGAAAAGAATAAAAATCCCCACTGCAGTACATAATTCTCTCACGCAAATAGCATGAATTCAGGATCCAAGAACTAAGGTAAAAGGTTATTGCTGAGTAATTCTATTCAGGGACTCAATAATTGTAACACAAACCAACCAGAAATAATGTCCCACATCAGTCTGATAGCAACTGCTTAACAAAGGAAGACTTCTGCTTACTTAAAGTCCTTATGCAAGTTACTATTTTTTGTCTAAAGAATGTATTGCTTCCTCCCTATTGCTCTGAGTTTACTCAGCAGTTTATAGTAGCCACGACATGGAGGATTTTATTGCTCTTGTGCTAAAAACATATTTCCCTTTATTGCTGAAATCTTGCTGTTAAGAGAAATGGTTAAAAAAAGAAGACAATAAAAAAAAAATCCTCTCCCAAGCTTTGAGGATGAGTATATGAAAAAATTGACTACAGTAAATTTTGCCCGTCAAGATACAACCTGTTACTAACTTCAGGTCAAGTGTGTTAATAAATAAAAATGAACTTCAATTCTTTAAACTAAATTACGCATTAAGAAAAAAGCCTTTTGTCGTTACAATGGAGGTATGAAAGATACTTCACTGTACATAGAATGGTGAATCTAGCACCCCTGGTCTTATGCACGGGTGTTATTTGATGGGACAACAAAATGACAGGATCCTGCAAGCTGACTGGATTTCTGCCAGTTTCAGAGGGATCTTGGATGGATACTGGCACCTCACCATACAGAACCGGGGCCTACACTGTAACTCTGAGGTGACAGCAGAGAATTGCTTAATTCTGCAGGGTCTGAAAAGTGGCTGTCTGTCCAGCATTTCTTCTGTGCAAGCGAGGTAGGCAGCTTTTTTGCCACAGCTCTGCCCCTACTCCCAACAGTCTGTTCACGGGTGCGTTATATAGCCTCCATCCAGTACTGCAAACCATGTTAAAGTTTGGTCTGACAGCTGTGGGCAAACCTATGTCATTGACTTCCAGAAGGATTTTCTGGCCTATGCTGCAGTGTCTCAGTTTAAGAACATATTTCTGGAGGAGACAACATCCTCACTTGAGGTCACCGCAGTAGCTTGGGAGGCATAATCATGTTTCTCATCTGTTTGTGGTGAAAGGTAACCATGCGCTACTCCTCAAACGAGGGCAAATCGCATCCCTATGAGCTAGCTTTGTGGGACTTCTATAATTAATCCTTCTTTGCTCCGTTTGACTCACACTGCTCCTCAGGAGAGGAGCTTCCAATTACAAATCTCTGTGCTCTGGCACAAGGAAAAGGTTGGCTCCCCCGGCGCTCTGGAGAGCCTCTGTGGATTTGAGCAGCCTGTGGAGCGAGGAAGATGACAAGGACGCTAGGTGAGCCAGCATGAGAAGCAGGGACGACATCATCTCCCTCTATACTGGTTTTTTCTGGCTTCCCTACCACCCGGGTGTTGTGGAGCGAAAAACACTAGTGCCTGTGAGGTTATCCAAGAGGATGAGAACAGGTCTGTGTTAGCAAAACAACAGTTGCCCTCCAGACTGAATTTTGGTCACAGTTGTAGCTGCTCATCTTCATCACACTTCTTGGCAATTTGATACAGAAGAACAAATAGGGGAAAAAAAAGGGGGGGGGGAGTAAACTTTGCATGACTTTAGCTTATTTTCTACTTTTAAAAGTGCCATTCTACATTAATCAGCCTCTCTACATTATTCAGCTCATGACTTTTACTGCCATTTATTCCCAATACTTTGCATACTTGCAAAACTGCACGCATACATAGCATGGATATTTATGAAGTGATTATTTCTTATACAAAAATTCATAACAAAATGCAATGACTAGAGTTTCATTAGCATTCAGAAGTAGATAAAGAACACCAATATCCTACACTGAACAGAGGCCATAGTCTAACTGTGCTGAACATCTGTAAATCACAGTGAAGCCAAGGGAGCTGCAAGTTCACAGCTCTACTGGACCATGCCATGCAATTATTAAACTAATCAGATTACAAAGTAAGAGCCAAATATCATGAAGGTTGAACAAGTAAATAATGGAATTTGAACCCAACATTGCAACTAAAATTAATTATTGCTCATAAAAATCTCTACAGAGCCTTGTTTACAGAGAACTCATTCACATTTGAGATTCAGCTTTGTGTATAGCATATGATTCTTAACGTCACAGAAACTTTGCCACAAAAAGCTACAGTCATCCAGACGTCCATGTGAAAAGGACAGATTCCATTTGGAAAAATCCAGACCAGCAACACAGTTGTCTCTACTATCTATACTATACAGGTATATTTTTTCATTGAACTGTAAATATTGCTATTTTTACACTTGAGTTTGTTGCGTTTTTTTTAAACTGTAAGGGAAGATACTGAAGCAACAATACAGTGTGCTGACTTCGACATTCAAGGGAATATAACCTCCTACTGATGCCAGGGCATTAAACACATTGAGCTCCCATCAACACTAATGGAAGTGGTACTATAAACTCCCATGCACTGGCACTAGGGTACACCTTCAGTTTCACAAAGACATTGCCAGGAATATTTTCTCTCTGACAATCGAGTCTTCAAATCAGAAAACAATGTTTCATTTCTAGTGCATTCTAACCTTCAGCAAAAGGTTAGAAGCAGTTTGAAATTTAACCATTCATGAGAGGAAGCTCTGTTTTTTAGACCAGAACTATCATCCTATACTGAAGTGAACTGACATGCATACAGTGCGAAGAATCACAGTCTGTAATGGATGAAACTGCCAGAAAAGGAGAAAATATTGTTTCATGTTGCAGTTCTGGTTGCATACAATTATGAACCAGATATGCTCTGAGAATTTATAAACCACAGTATTTAAAATTATATAGCAGAACAATGAAAACAAGTGGTAATAGTTTTGACTTGATAACAAACTTAAGGGGAACCATTTCATGTAGATGCTGAATACATGTTGCAAGCAATTTGTAGGTTATTTTATTAGATATTTTCTTATACACTTCTGAAAAGATAAACTTGGTGAGAAACTTAGTGTTGCATCTATTACAAACGCATAGTCAAAAGAGGCCATATTGTTTCATCAATTTCGAAGATCCCCCCTGAATTCCTTTCAAAATTAATAGTCTAATGAGCTCTGATGTCCCATATCTAAGTGAAAACATATGGATGACTTTTGAAAAGGAAGGCAAAGCATATCTTCTGTTTTAACATCCAGCCAGAACTCAGGAGGGAACAGGTAACCCTTTAAAACAATTATCAAGCTAATTCATGCCGAGATGTAAAATAAAAAGCTAAACAAGTACTTCCTCACTTAGAGCAGATTTGTTGCACTGAGATTATTACAATAAATACCATATAAATCAGTACAATTGGCCATTATTTTGAAGACTATTCTGATAACATACAAATGGCGTAACAGGACTTGGGTTTTCTTTTTTTTTTCTGTTTTAAAAAAGAACTAAAGAGGGCAAAAAATATCCTGACAACAGACTAACATGCAGTATGACTAAACCCAATCACATAAACAATTTCAAAGGAGGTATGCTGTTTCAATCTAATTTTAATTAGCAAACTTAATGTAAAATCATGGCAGTCTGGGTTATATAACAAAAAGACCCTGAGCAACATTATGAAGATGTAAGAACACTGATTATTTTGATTTTGGAAATCTCCCTTACACCACTCGATACATTTTGGTCACTGGGGTTTTCTGTTTACAAAAAGATCAGTGCATCCTGTGGTTTTTATATGAACCCATCACACACCACTTAATGAATGCATCTAAACCAAAGACAGCATCGCAAGAATGTCTGGAAAGTAACATGTTAAGGAGCGTCCCCCTAGCTGCCAATCAGACATCACTGGGTGATCTTGCTCTCTGGGACAGGTTAGAAGGAATACAGCCACATCAGAAGAGCCAAAGTGCTTTCTGTATCTCCTGGTTCCTAAAAGCATATATTACAGGATTGATGATGGAATTGTAGGTAGCTGGCAGGAGGGTGGCATAGGTGTATATAGAAGGATAGGTGTAATCTGCTATTAAAGAATAGAGCGTAAAAGGCATCCAGCAAGCAGCAAAAGTCCCCAAAATAATGGCCAAAGTAGACACTCCTTTTCGGGTAGTCACATAGTGGGAAGTGGCCAGGAAATGGTGTTGCAAGGCAATCTGATGAGCATGGCGCATCACTATTTTACAGATTTGAATGTAGAGCTGCAGCATGAGGGCAAACATAAGCAAGAAAGAGACCGAAAGGACAGCTGCATTATTTTTAGTGAGCGGTCTGATAACACTGCAGGTGGATTCATCTCTCAGGCAGTTCCAGCCCATTACAGGCAGCAGTCCAATACAGATAGATGCTCCCCAGAGCAATATAAGCATGACATAGGTAAAAGTGACAGTCCTCTCTGAATTGTAAGTCAAAGCGTAATACAGGGAGAGGTAACGATCAACAGTAATAGCCAGCAAGCTGCCGACAGATGCTGAGAAAGAGGCAACAATCAGTCCAATCGTAACCAGTTTCGTAGCTTCTGATTGCAGAAGGTATGCAAAAACGAAATTGATGATCAATCCAATGCCCGCTAAGAGATCTGCCAGCGCCAGGCTGCCTATCAGGAGGAACATGGGGGCGCGGAGACTGGGATTATGGAAAATGATAAGAACCACAATGGCATTTTCGCAGGAGATAAGGGTCCCTGAAGTACACAAGACAATGTCCCAGGGGTTTACCAAAAGCTCTGGCTCTGGGTCTATGACAGGAACCAGGGAGGAGCCTGCGGCTGAGGCATTCTCGGTAGAGCTGGCTTCTACATGATCCTGAGGCAGCCAGCTCAAATTAACCTTCAGATCTTCATTCATTTTAACCCCTGTCTTCTTCAACGGAAAGACATTTTTTTTAATGTTCAGACACAGCACTGGATACAGCACCCCCAGAGCATGCAACGCCCTAGACGGCAACACCAATTTAATGTGCAGGCAGGCACTTGTTACGTAAATGTGACAATAAAAAAAAAAAACAAAAACAGAGGGGGGGAAAAAAATGTAAAACTGCCCGAGATTATCTGCCAAGGGACGGACACACGGAGGCTGAGTGATCCTAACGGCAATTCCCTTCACCTGCATAGGGAAGAAGGCACGGGAGGGAGCCCATAAAACAGCTCAAACCCCCCAAGCGCAGCCATTTGGGGTGGGGGCCGGCCGTGGGGCGGTGTAAACCCCGTTATTCAGCAGCCACGATTTCAAAGTGGGATTATTTTCAGTCACGGAGGGAGCGGCCAGAAGGGGGGTGGGGAGGCTATCCTTCACCGACCCCCTGTGAGGAAACCCC